TTCACTTGTTATGGATTTCATTTTCATAATTTGCAGAGGTTGATGGAGACTAGGGTTGTTGTGGTCCATTATAAAAACCACAGTAAGTGAGGTAAATGAGGGGCCATGTGTGAAAGAGAAAAAAATAACACCAAATCTGTTTCACATGAATAAAACAAATTCAAAACCACAACATAAAGTGAAGTAAAGAATTAATACAGTGAAAAGAAAAGTTTTGTACAAGATATTATCAGACAAGATCTTCTGAATTTTATTTTGTTGTGACCAGATTGAACTCCATGCAATTTAAAAAAAAAAAAAAAAATCTCAATGAACAAATTAATGACTTTTAATTTAAGACGTGTTTGGTATACATTAATTTGAATACACAGTGTTGTTTTCTCTCTTTTCACCGGTAGTTTGGTTCTTCGCTTGCTCTTGAATATCAAATCTTGATTATAATGTTATGGACCCAACCTTAATTGATAGACATGACACCGCCGTGGGTGTGATTTGCCTCTCTGACTTTTCTCCCGATTTTTAAGTGTTTTTGTTCCCGGTCTCAATTCATATTAGAAATTAAGTTTTTCTCTTCGTCCATTTAGATTTTGAATTCCTCATTTTCATCCGTCTCCGTCTACGTTGTTTTTAAAAAAATAATTATACATATAATAAATTAAATTTAATATTTTTTATATATAAATAAATATTTATAATTTTATAATTTATAATTATTATTATAAATTAAATATATACTTTAATTTATTATATTTATATTAAAAAATATATGTAATACTTAATATTTTCTCTTTATACGAATATATAATAATAATAATAATAATAATAATAATAATAATAATAATGTATTCAAATATTTATTATATATATGAGGTAATTATTTTTTATGCTATCATTTAAAAATATTTAAAAATATAAAATATATAGTTTATAAGAAAATATTTAAAAAATTAATTGTTATTTAATTAGTTAAAAAAAATAAAAGTTTTAATTATCAATTTTTTTAATCTTTAAAATACAATTATTCTATTAAGATAAAATTTAATATATGATAAATAAAAATAATATTAGTTACTACTAAGATTAATGTAAAATATTTATAAAAAGATAAAGAAGAATAAAAATTAACTTTATATTTGTCAAATTAGTTGAAAAGATTGAAAAAATCAAATTGATTGAAAAGATAAAAGAAATGTGAATAAGTAAAAAAAAGAATAATACAATGAACTAATTGTTATTAAAGATTAAAAAAACAAAATAAAAAAAAGTAGAGAGAAGAAAAGTAAAAATGTTAATATATAAAAAATAACTTTATATATAATGAAGAAATGAAACAAAATATTTTTAAAATATTAATATTTAAATTTAAATATATAGTTAGAACGGGATACTCATCCTTATCTTTGACTTTTTCAAAGGTAGAAAATCCAAATTTGTTTCTCCCTATTAACTCGATTTTTTCCCATCAAACTCAAGGTAAGGAAGAATGAGTTCTCGCAGGTACATGTTTATTTGTGATCCTAATGAAGATTTTGATTTAACTTCAATTTGTAAAAATTGAATATCTTGTAATTTGATTACAATTTAAAAACTAATTTTAAAAATCCAAAATATTATTTTTCAATAAAATCAAAATCCTATTTTTTTTCAATAAAATGGATATGAGTTGAATTTAGATTTGAAATCGAATCGGCATGAATGGAAAAATTAAAAATGGGATGCAAAGAAGTTGAGTCATTAAAAGTTTATTTAATTTAAGGAAAAGAAATGATAAAAAATGTTATTTGAAAATAGATATATATTTTTCGTCAATTACATGTAAATAATATGTTAATATCTTATTCTTTCATTTAAAAAGGACATTAGATGAATGTATAAAAGAACAATGAATTTTTTTTACTCCATTGCTTAAATAACTTAAAAATGTATGTTTATAACTCTTAATAAGATATATTTATTTCATTAAAATTCGATTTTTATCTCAAAGGAATTAAAACCTTGTACAACTACTTTTGAGATGGACACAAAATTCCCTTGTTCCTATATATCTTAAAATCAAATGAAGAAGTTTAAGCCATATATGTTTTTGTTGGGTTGGTTAATGTTTTTTAAATTAATTATTTTTAGAACAGAAAATGTTAGTTTATCTAAAACTTAGGGATTATCATATCATCATAACTAACCTTTCTTTGAAAAAAAAAAATTCTAAAATTTATATTATAAATAAAACAATCCTCACCTAAGATCTATATCGTCATATGTCAATGTGTATTAGTGCATGTTAACCTAAAAATTATCAGTGGGTGTTTGGCTTCATATTCTTTTGCACCTCCATTAAATTATTTATTTTGATATTAGCCTAAGATTTAAGCGATAGTTAATTGTCCATATTTAATTGAATTAATTTTATTTAGTATCCAATGAAAAATGGTATCACGTAATTCTTTATAAACATGTTAATTTGCATATTCCCCTTTTTATTATGAAATTTCAATGATAATAATAATAATAAAAATAAAAATAATAGAAAAAAAGGTAAATTGAAATGGTTGTTTATACATTAATTTTTCTTTTGTTTTATGAAATTTCAGTTTAGAAACATTAAATATTATTATAAAGAAATTTTGAAATGGTGATTTATGCTCTCTTTTTTTGTGTGTTCAATGAAGGAATAGAAACACCAAAAACGTTTGTTACGGGAAGAGTGAGTGGTATTTATTTAATAACCCAAACAATCAATATATAATCCAAAATAACACTATATAATTAATATCCTATTTTATAACTTAACCCAACACTCTTTTTTTTTTTTAATGATCCACAGCAAATAAGGTACAACTGGATGCAGTCTTTCCATCTTTTTGGGTTGCATACCTAAGGCAATGTTTTTTGGTAGTTGAGATAGATTGATCTTCGCCTTCACTACATAAAAAAATCAAAAGATAGAGTGTGTGGTTTCAGAATCTATCCCATATCGGTAAATAAGTAAACATATTTGCACATCATTCTTCTTCTTTTTCCTGTCAAAAATTACTGATATTCATTTTTCATTCAAAAACGATTTCTTTCTTTGCACCATTATGTTTCTTCCATTAGAAAACACTACAAATTTATTGATTATTTTTTTCCCTGCAATGGGTTGAATATACAAAACAAGTTGTTTGAGAAGAAAGTCAGCATTTGCTTTACATTACTGATATTTATGTTTTATACTTTCATGATTCTTAATTTTTTTTTCCTCCTTTTGCATATACTATTAAAAGAAACAAGTTATATAAACACAGCAATGAGCGTTGAATTATGTTTATTATTATAACCTCGTAAAGTAAAAGAGAGTATTCTTTCAAAGAAAAATAAAACTAACAGGGGTTTAAAAGGATAAGCAAGAGATAAAAAAGCATTCAGAAATTAATATTAGAGCTCCAGCAAACAATCAATATACACAATTCAACAAAATTTACAACGATCTTCATGTTCAGCAAAGCGCACGACAATTGAGAAAATTAAGTTGACTGCAAGCTTTAGGATGCATGACAGTAGATAGACACTCGTTTCTGGAAGTTGGAAATTCTGGTCCCAAATCACTATTGGCCAATCCATTAAGCAATCTGCAGATATCGCTTTCATGTCTAAGGTAGTGGACGACCACTTCCTTCCCTTTCAGTAGGTGGTAAGTGTTACAGACAATGGATACGAGAGTTTTCAGCAGCATATTACTCTATATAAAAACCTTAAATGGTTGAACCTGAAGATCATAAGAATATCATGCAAATCACTTGATATAACCCATTCGGAAGCCACACATTTTTAAAACATACCACACATTCCAAAAGCATATGATGTGTTCAAACATTCAGAAATTGTGAATGATATGAATGAATTGGGATTAATATTCTCAACACAATAGAGGAGTGAATGGGACGCTTGAGCGTTGCCAAATGTCATATAGTGTCAATTGTAAAGAGTGAAAATATTCTAAAACGGGCAATCCAGTCTGAGAATAATACATGTGTCATTTAAAAAGTTATTATGACTATATCTAACACCTACACAAAGCTGCTAGAAGAAATATCAAGCCTGATAATCACAAGAATGAGAAACAACTTACATGGATATGAGAAAAAAAGATCTTCCACCATTTTAAGATTTTCATTTTATTCACAAATAGTTCAGTTCATTACATAAACATAGCAGGTCAAAGATTGAGAAATCCATTACAGAGAGTTCATCCTTTTTCTTTGTTGTCAAACTTATCCGTTGTGTCATGTTCGTAAAGTCTACTTTCTCGTGGCATTTCTTTTCTTCTAATTATAGTTAAAAATCTCATAGCACCACTTTGTTGTCCACTAGAGGGAATCTATTTTGGTTCAAATTTAGTAAATAATCAACCATTAAAGGTGGTAAGTTCGGGCCTATGATAAGTTAGTTAAATCTATTAAGATTAACAAACTAAGAAACTCGACATTGTTCACAAAATTGCAAGGCAATCCAGCACAAAAATAAAACAAAAACAACAAAGTATAACTAAGAAGAACGGCATGGTTGGACCATGTCGAGAAGTTGGTGATCCATTCTTATTTGCACCAAGTGAAGCAAGATTGCAATTTATTTTCACAAGCATACAGTGCAATCAAAATAAAAACACAAATCAATGAAAATGAGGAATGCAGAATTGCAGATTCCTAATTTTTTTTAATGAAAATTGAAATTCTATAATTCATTTAATCAAAATATCTTATAAAAATATTAGAGATTTGAATTCTTTCTAAATAGAGTACCCAAACAGAGTATTTTACCACGGCAATCTAAACTCACTAGAAAACAGAAATAATTAAAATTCATCATCCAAACAATACCGTTAGAAGTTTGTTTTCCATATGCCGATTGAAGACTTCATGTGTACAGTTCATTAACTGCTGATATGGTTTAGCTCTTCAACCAATAAGCGAGCCTAACTATTTGCAATTACAGATCTGTTAACTGAGTCAGTTTGATAACTGAGATTAATTTTGGGCCAATAAGCCAGAAAATGTGGATTCTGAATACCCAAGTTTAGATCCTGATTTAAGAAGCAGAGCTTCCCAAGCCCTGGCCCCAGGAACAAAACTTTTCGCAACAATTTTATTGGTCAATTCTGTTGCTTCAGAAATCAAGCCCTTTTGGCACATCAGAAATATTATATTATCAAATGTTGAAGATCTAGGAAAGAAACACTTCTCCAACATTTCCTGCAACAAGACACATGCTTCACCAATCTCACCTTTCCCAACCAAACCATCCAGCATGATCCTGTATGAGTGCAAGTTGAGCCCAACACCCTTCCACCCCATCTCCTTCATTACCTCTCTTGCCTTACCTAAATCCCCTGCTACACACAAGGCACCCAATAAAGTATTGCAAGTAACAACATTCGGTTTGCATTCTAACTCCTCCATAGAAGCAACAATCTTAAGCGCCTCATCTACATTATTCTGCTTACATAAACCATTTATATACACATTATAAGTATAAACATCAGGAACGAGTCCAAATACAAGTATTTCATCAAATAGTGCATCTAATTTCACATATTCCCCTTCTGCTACCATCCCACTCAAGACCATAGTATAGCAAACAACATCAGGTTTAATTCCATCTTGTTTCTGCTGGTTCAGAATGTCCAAAGCATCCATACCCTTCCCTTCCTTCACCAAGAACCTAATTATGTTTGTATAATCCATGACACCAGGACAAAATCCTAGTTTCCTCATATCCCTCCAAACAACCAAAGCCTCAACACTAGTCATATCCTTTTGTTCACACAATGATGATATTATCAAAGAACATATTGTCTCATCCAAACCATACCCATCTTCTATCATACAATTCAGCATCTCAGTGGCATAGCCCAACCTCTTAATTCTACACAAGGCCTTGATCAAAACCCGAAATGTAGATTCCTCAACGCGAATGTTCATATGCTGGCTCTTCAGCAAGATCTCGGGAACCATTTTGAGACAATCTTTCTTCCTACAAAGCAGTGAGAGAACCAAGTTCAATGAGCAAACAGTTGGTGTGCACCTGAACCTGGGGATTCTGAAAAACAAATCCACAGCATCTTGGACCCTATCAGCAAGACCATAGAACCTGATAAGGTACACTAGGATAGACTCTGGAGTTTCAAACTTCTCCAAGTGTTCAAGGTGATCAAGGACAGGAGGAATGTCCTGCAACTGGGAGGTGTTGGTTAAGGTTTTGATGACAAAGTAGTAAGCTTTTGGAGTTGGGTCACAGTTGTAAGCTTTGAATGAGTCAAGGAGAGTGGAGAGAAGAAAAGGGTAGGGAAGGTTGCGTGTTTGGGGTTGGTGTTGCTGCGAGGAACCCATTTCAAGGGTTGCTTGTTTGAGGTTTTGTATAGCTTGTTGTTCACCAAAATTGTGGTGCCATGAGGTCTTGTAAGGAGAGTGTGGCCATTTTTTGAATTTTCTGAGGTATTTGTTGGCTCTCTTGGACAAAGGGTGTCTCACCATCTGGATTTGACGGAGAACATAGCAAGAACGGACGTAGAATTAATCGAATCAAACCATACAAACCTAAACCCAATTCTATCCATGGCTTGGGATTGCCAAAACTCTGATGGCAAACCAAGACCCAATTTCATCTTTATTTTAAAATTAAAATTAAAATTAAAATTCAGTGTTTAAAGAAAACAAAACGTTATAAAATAGTTAAAGTTAACATTATATCACAATATAAATTATTTTTTATAAATTAGAAATATTATTTATATTTCAAATAATTTATTTATTACAAATTTTAGTTATATCTTATATATTTATAACCATTTATTTAATATAGATTTGAGTTATATGAAATAAGCATTCATCCTTTGCATTACACAATATAGTACCATAAATTTAGAGCTTATGTTCTCTCAGTTAATTGTTCTTAATATATTTTCATACTTTCCTTTGGATTTCAATGCTACTATAGCGACTAGTAAAAATATTGTTTCACATCTACGTCTCAAAAGCTTTTTTTATCCATTACATTTATCTTTATCTTTATCTTTAAATTAAATTTTAATAACTTTTAAAAATAAAATATTATTAATTAAAAAATTTACATTATAATTGAAAGAATTCATATTCAAAAATATGATTTTTATATTAATTAACTTTTTTTCGATAAAACTAGTATGTTTGTACGTTCATTGAATATATAAATAAACTATATGAATATATAAATTATTTTACAAAAATCATAATAAATAAATAAATATTGTTAAGTGTATTATATTTATTAGATAGAAAAAAATTATATTGTGATTTAATATTATTTAAATTATTGATAAAAAAATTAAATATTGAAATTTTATTTAGAAATAAAAATATTATAAATTGAAAGAGGAAAAGGTTAAGAAAAAACACTAAAATAAAAGCATTCTCATTGAAGGAAAAAATCCATAATTGAAAAATGATAATTAAAAATGTGCTTGTTCAAACACTGTTTTAATTTATATAGAAGGAATATTTGAATTGTAATTATATAAAAATATTTATCTTCTACAAATCCACAATCATAAAAGGTGATGCTTGTGCTTATTTTGTCGTGGTTATTAATATTTTTCTTGATGGGAGCTAAGTCCCTCCATTCCATTAAAAAAAAGAAAAAAAAAGCTAAAATATTAGGGGATGTCAAGGTAAAAAAAAAAGTGAACAATTAAAAAAAAAATTATTGAAAAAAGAAAAGTAAAAATAAATAAACAAGTGAAAAATACTAATAAAGCCAACTATTTTTAACTCTCTCATATTAAACAAGCTTAATAAAATAAATTATCCATATGTTTACACCATATATCTTCTAATTGAATGAACTCACCATTAAAACAAATAAAGTAATATTGACCTTTTCTTGACTGAATTCATACCTTGCGGCGTGCGCATGCAAAATTCTCATCTTTCTCATTTTCTAATTAAATAAAACATAGTAACAGGTTGACATTTCCTTGTTCTTCACAAGTATATATAATAGACCATTTCCTTGTTCATGGTTGAACTTTCTCACGTTAAAAGTAAAAAAAGTAGGATTCAAACGAGTCATAATCATAAGAAGTTGATCCTTTTCCGCAAAGAAACCTGTTTCACCATTATAAAGCTTCAGTTCCCAACCCTTCTGATTCTACAACATAGATTAACAAAGAAACACATTTCCAAATTAAACTCATATTCTTCTGCCACTGATTCTTGAACTCCAACTATGGCAAACCAATTATCACCATCCTTTGGCACACCCATCATCGCCCCTCAGTACTGCTCTCCAGGTATATATTTTATATATATATATATATATATATATATATATATATATATATATATATATATATATATATATATATATATCCAATAATTTCATATATTATAATAACTGTCTTATTACAGTATCTCATCTTCTGTTCATTGTTATAACCCATCTTGTTGTGATGCATGATGCATTTGCATATTTTTTCTTTAATTAAATCTCAATTGGTTATTAGTTGATTATATAAGTGCCATGCTATACATGTTGCAGGCCCACATCCCGTTGATCTGATAATCACGAAGGAGAGAAGTATAGGTGAAAATTTCACTGTTACAGATACCACTGGCAACATCGTTTTCACTGTTCAGAGCAATATCGTAAGCATTGTGACACCCCGCAGACACATGTTCTTGTTTGACGCTAATGGAAACCCCATTGTTCATCTTCGCAATTCGGTTAGTTCATCAATTACATCTCTTCATCATCTTCTTCTTTTTAACTTAGGAAAAAGAAAACACTAGCATCTCAGAAAGTACTGATATATATCTGCACAAAGTTACTTTCTATATAAGATTTTTATTTATTTTTAATTTTCTTCTAATGAAAATTCTTTCTTGAATTTTTTTTTTCGAACATACCTATATACATGTTTAATTTATCAAATGGCATGAAAGAATAAAATTAAAATGTACTTCACCCACCCATTTTTAATTAATAGATATAAAATTAGAAGTTTTATATAGGTATTTTAGAAGGAACAAAGAATCTATTATATTTCTTATTTATTTTTTTAATATATAGATTAAAAAAACGAAAGAAGTTACATTATTCTTCAAATTTATAGTTTTTTTTTATTTATAAAATTTTAAATAACACCAATTATATTATTATTTCTTATCTTATATTTAAGTAATCGATACGTGTGTATTGAGTATGTAATAGAAATGAGAAAGGGATAATATAGAAAATTTCCTAACTATTTGATTAAAATAAGAAAAAGTATTATTCTTTTGATTTTATATATAAGCATAAATATAAATTTTGTTCCAGAGGAAATATATAATATAGATAGTATCTTAAAATCAGTGTTGTTTAGGTTTATTGGATGGATGTTGAAATTTAAGTTTGAAGTTGTTGGATGATACAGGTATTTTCGAGTGATGTTTGGGAAGCATTTAGAGGTAGAAGTAAAGAATCCAGAGATCTGATCTTTAGAACGGAACGATCCTCATTATTTCAGCTAAGAATGAAATTGAATGTGTTCTTGGCAAATAAAGCCACCGATGTTTGTGACTTCAAGGTCAAAGCAACCTTGTTTGGATCCTCTTGGGATGTTTACATAGGCGATTCCGACATCCTTGTTGCCCAGGTAATTTTACTTTTTATATTCCAGATGGATGGGTAAGTTGAAAATAAAATTTATGGAAATTATTGTTGTTGCAGATAAACAAGAAGCTTGGCACTATATTTAGCAGAGAGAAGTACATGGTGAGTGTGTGTCCTAATATCGATTATGCATTCATCGTGGCTCTAATTGTGACTCTTGAAACTTGATCAACCACCACATGATGCAGCAAGGGCACGTAGATGGATCATATTTTCTCAAATATCTCAATTTCTTCGAGATTTTGTATTCCATTCTTTGATTTTTTTTCTTTTGTAATTGTTTCAATTTAGACATTACATGTCACACACATAATTGTTGAATTTGTAATTGTCATAATATTTTCTTGGCTTGTTGTAATCATGAGACACGTAATTGACATCATTCGCATCACATATAATAGATATTCAATTAAGCAACCAAGTATAATGCGCGTAGTTTAGAAAAAAACAACTGAACGCAACACGCGAATAGTAACGCTTATAATATTCCGAAAAAATTAATAAGTTTCTCTATAAATATAAATTAATTTATCTATAAATTAAAAATGATATGGAATGATTCAAAATCAGCTAACTATACCATTACCTTATAGTAAGAAAAACAAGTGAGAAGACCTATAATAAAAATTAATCTCAGCAGGAAATTGATAAACTTGTAATTAAATATAACAAAATTCAACAGGCTGGGTGAGATAATGATATTAATTTTAGTGCAGATAGAAACAAAATTTAAAGTATTAACTATTTGTTTATTTAATTTTGATCTACCAAATGTGGAAGCACGTGTCATGCCATAGCTTTGAATAATGAACAAGTTGGAAAAATTCTTGCAAACGATGAAATTCATTTAGAAAAGTAATGCCAGCATGTCTAATTAACTTGTATGATACATCTCATCTCATCATCAATCATCGTGTCTCATGTCTTCTATATAAGAAGCGTTCACAATACACACTCATTCAAAATTTTCTATTTTAGGAGACAATAATTACTTATTTGTTGGAGCGTGATCGTGGTATATGGCATACCCAAACCCTTATTATCCGGCGGAGCCGCAGCCCTCCGCCTCCGCCCTGATGCCGGCGCTGCCCACCACCGTAATTGGGCCGCAGTTCTGCGCTCCGTACCCGGTGGATCTGGCGGTGGTGAAGAAGGTGATGACCATCTCCGACGGCAACTTCGTGGTCGCCGACGTCAACGGCAAGGTCGTCTTCAAAGTCAAGGGCTCTCTCATGACCCTCCGTGATCGCCGCGTTCTAGTCGACGCCACCGGCCACCCCCTCGTCACCCTACGCCGCAAGGTTTGTCATTCTTCGTTCTCCGAACACATCACATGTTTGTTTAAATTACTAGGTTAAAATTTAAATTTGTACTTAGTGAAAGTTAATCACGCATACCCTAATTGAATATTAGACACTCTGAGTTTAGTTCCTCTTTTAGACAACATTTAAGCATGCATAGCCTTCTGCAATCAAAGTTTTATTAGTTCAGTTAAATATATATATGATTTTAGTACTTTACTTGTGATTGAATTGTAAAGGTTTTGTGTATTATAAAATAAATTGTGTTATTGATGCAGATAATGAGTGCACATGATCGATGGCAAGCTTTCAGAGGGGAAAGCACAGAGGCCAAAGATCTAATATTTTCTCTGAAGCGATCGTCCTTGATCCAGTTTAGGACCAAATTGGATGTGTTTTTGGCCAACAACACCAAAGAAGATATTTGTGATTTTAAGGTCAAAGGTAGCTGGTTGGAACGATCTTGCACTGTTTATGCCGGTGAATCTAACAACATCGTTGCCCAGGTAAAACCCTCTCTTTAAATATCCAAAACGATATTTTTTAAAATACATTTTTCTCCCTCCAAAATATATTAAATTTAGTTTTTATATTTTTTCTTGATCTTTTTATCCCTCTCTGATTTTGAAAGACATTACCTTTACTGTTCTAAGTGCTGATTAAATCAATTAAAAGACTAAAAATTGTGCATAATCAAATTTAAATTTGATATCTTTAATCTCTATATTTTTTTTAATAAATGTTTTATGTTTTACCCAAACACTTTAGAGACATTACGTACATGGAAAACAAAGTACTAGTCACTCGATAACTTATTTTGTTCTTAATTCTCGTCATCAAACATTATACATGATTGACAACTTCATCTTTTTTTTTCTCAGAGCTTTATTCAGGATTAGAATAACTTTTTAGTAAATTATAAATATTAATTTTAAATTTATACATTTTTTTCAAATTTAAGGAACTAAAAATATATTTAAATAAAAAATTAGCATTTTTAAGTATTTATTTATAGAATTTAACTACATCATGCATAAATGATTTTTTTGAATATTATTTAATAATAAATTACAGGTAAACAGAGTAGTTTTCAATTAATTAGCAGCGTAAAATTTGCTATTAATATTATATATGAAAATTAAATTGAAAATATTTTGTGGGAATGCTATTGCAGATGCATAAAAAGCACACTGTTCAGAGTATTTTGATTGGAAAAGACAATTTCATGGTCACGGTTTATCCCAACGTTGATTATGCGTTCATAGTAGCGTTAATCGTGATTCTTGACGAGATTAACGAAGATGAGAGAGCAGATTAGAGAAATGGTATACATTTAGTAATTTCTGTTGTACTTTTTTATCAATGGTGCTCATACTTCCAATATATATTGTACTTGTTAAGGAGTTTCATCTTTCTTTCTGATCTAAATAAGTAAATAAAAATATTTAAATTCCCATTTCATATTTATTATTTTCTGGTTGTGGATTAAGGCAATTTTACTGGCATTAAGTAATCAAGTTGCATGATAATAAGCATATTTGAAATTAGGATTTTATGCGTTTTCTTTTTCATTTTGATTTCTTATAAGAATAATTATGTGTTTGGATTAAAAGATGAATATGTGGGAGGGAAAAAAGAGGTGAAAGTGAGATCGAGTAAATTAAGGGAAAAATAATAAAAAATGTGTAGAAAAAAATATTTAAGTTTATGTACCATAGAAAAATTATTTTAATAAAAAATTAAATAATTAAATTATAATTAAATAAAATTTTATTTTTATGATAATTTAAAATATTATAATTATTTTTATTTAAATTATTATTATTATAATTATTATTATTATTTATATATTATATATAACATGATTCATTGACTTTCTGCATATTTCTTTTCATAAATCTGAGAGTGATTTTTCTTTTTTAACTGCAGATTTCTCGTAAAATCAACTTTCCTTATAAATCTCGGCTATTCGCCTTTTTTACATCTTGAAATACTGACCCAGCAGAAAAAATAGTCAGTTACACAAAAAAAATGAGACAATACAACCAAAACTACACCTACCTATATCCTAAATTAATTCGCGAGGTGTTAAAAAAATATTATATATTATTCAAAAATGAAAAAAAAAATCCTTCCTAAGGAATTACATATATTTCCCAATTTTATTTGCAGAATCAAAATTCATTTTTGCAACATAAAAAAAATAAGGGCTCCCACCCCAACTTTAAAGTTCATTGTCCGTGGCTAACAAGGTGTGAAAATGAGACACATAATCGATATTGTTAAACATGCGTCAATTTAATTTAAATATTTTTTATCAATAAAATTTTTTATAACTTGACTTTATGTGAATCAGATAAATTGATCCACTTAATATATATATATATATATATATATATATATATATATATATATATTTAAATTATTAAAATAAGTAAATTGATTTAATAATATAAATAGATTATGTAAATTAATTTATTAAAGTAAACTTCTTTCTCATAAATGTACGCTAATATATAAATAAAAAAATTAAAATATACAAATTAGAAAAACTGATGAACTTATTATGAATCCTACTCAAACCCGTTTATTTCATAAATCAGATTCACTTTAACTTATTAAAAAATTTAAATTATCTGACAACCTAACTTTAATCATGATAAACTGGATTGCCTCACGGAGACTCGTATTGACTACCTTCGTCAAGACAGAATTTATAATCTGTAGGCGTTCAGAAATGAAATTTTGTTTTCTTCTATCAAATCAATCCTAAATCTGGATGATTGAAAAAGTAAGGAAAACAGTGTCCATGGTTCACTCAGCCCAGTGTTGGAATCTTCGCCCAAAACATAACTCGTACTATTATATTAATTTTACATCGAATCAAGTAAAACCCAAATATATGATTCTTGAGTTAAAATATTTCAAATAATATCCATAATTAATTTAAACGTTCATCCACGTCAAACCAAATACATACTGATTCACCGTACAAATGCAATTAATAAAAACACTACAAGGTTTCGAAAACAATAACTGTTTTTATATTTTACTTTTATAAACTAAAATACCATAGTTTTAAAAGACAGTTTATATATTTTTTTCAAACAAGTAATTTTATTTTTATTCTTTTAAATAAATACTATTTTTCAAAATTATAATGCCAAAGATTAAGAATATTCGCCCTTAACTTCTTAGTCCTTGTCTTTTAATAGTATTTTTTTTGTCTTTTTTTATTGTGTGGTACTACTTATAATTATAAACAAAGTTAACTAATTATGTTTTGATTGAGAATATTAGCTAAGTTAGTTTAATACTTTTATTTTTATACAATAAAGATAAAGCTTTTCTAAATTACACCTAATTATATTTATTACGATAATAGTTAGGTTTAAAAAATACCAGTATTTTCAAATTAATTACATTAAATATAATTTAAGAAATTGAAATTTCTTTATATTTAAATCTACAATATATTACATATATTTTTTTGGCTTATATTTGAGTTCAAACATTTTTCCCGCATCAAATAATTATATACTTATGATAATGATAATTTAAGTATTAGATTTTATTTATATATATATATATATATATATATATATATATTTATACAATAAATTGTATAATTAAGATGAGAAAGGGAAAAAATATAAAAAATAATGTAAGAATGAAGTTGTAACATATTTGATGGAGACACAAAAGTACAGATTATAGCAGCTACTGTTTTCTGCTTGTCAAGGAAGAAATCAAGATGGAGGTTTTTTGAAGGAGTTGGGAGTTTGTGAAATTTCTGAATGTTCAGAACATTAATTAGAATGATAGAGTGAAAGTACACAGAATCTCTTACTTCACTCAGACGTTTTGTTCATCCTTCATCAAAGTCTACACCTTGGCACGTATTCATAGAGAAAGGGATATCAGAAAATTTCAGTAACTTATTTTCAACAAAATGAACTAGAGTTGTAGCTCTTTTACCTGAAAACAGGTCCAAGATTTAAGATGAACTGGTTCCAAGAAGAGATAATGCTGTTGCAACCATATTGGCAGTTGTACTAGTACTGGTACCATCCCTGGGCTCCTTATAATTCATCTCGTTAACAATCATAAGCAGTGCCACTATGAATGCGTAGTCCACGTTGGGATAGACCAAGACATTGAAGCCGCCGTTGTTCTCCATCTACTCATGAGAGATAAACATGATTTTAAAAGGTAGGTAAATTGGTATGTATGTGGAGAATTATTACTAACTTTACAATTAATCAAGTATTTAGAGACTGAACTAACTTAATTAGTAGTCATACTTGGGCAACAACGGTAGGAGATTCACCGGCATAAACAATGCACGACCTTTTACTTCCATGAATTATGACCCTAAAGTCACAGTTTTTTTCATCTTTGTTGTTTGCGAGGAACACATTTAATTTACTAATCCCACGTGGGATCTTTGAGGGTTTCTTGATATCCTTCACCGAAAAGAGAAATTCAGATGGATCATTGCTTTCACCCTTGAAAACTTTGCATCGCTCACGCAACGCCATAATCTGCATAATACAAATTAAGAATGAAAATTTTTTAACTAGAGATTAATTTTGTAGGTGGGCAAATATTAAGTTAATTAATAAAACTAATTAACTGGAAAATCAATGACAATGAGTATTGTTATATGTATGGATAAGCAACCAAACCTTCTTGTATGTCGTGAGGATGGGATTTTGTTTATCATCATACAAGACACGACGGTAGTGAAGTGGGCAGAAAGTATCCTTAATAACATAAAAGATACGTTCACCCTTTACATCGTAAGTGACTCCTTTCTCAGTATTAATTTGTAGATTGATTGCGTGAGGAGCGGTGTAGAAAGGGTTGATAACTGTGAATTGATTTTCCATTGGAGACGGAGTTGTGTTATGGAACGAACAAACGGTGTGTCTTGATTTATGTGTTGGATATGGTAATATATAGAACAATGTATAATAAAATTATTGAGGTTTTTTCTATACCAAATGCAATCGTAAGTGTATGGTACTGTCGAATACACGCGTCAGATATATATCTACGACTGAGTCAAATATACATTACGAATTCTGAGTTGGGATGGATCACGTTGTGCAAATTTAAGGGAGGAAATTGAAGGTTTGGTATCCCTACAGATATAATAATGACATTGACTTGTGTGAAGAAGGTTGTTGTGGTTATAAAGAGGACTGAAACTGTCCATCATATAGTCATCAATACTTGTATTTTCAGACTCTCCAACTAATAATGTTATGATGTAACAGATATGTTAACAATTCAGTGATATAAAATCAAAGAATTTTAATGGGACATTACTGTGATGAAATTTTCACCGTGTTTTGGAGTCAACCCAAGTCTTCTTCTACTTACAATTGACACTGTCCTCTTTTGATTCACTCAAACAACAGAAATGATAGGATGACATCCAAAATCCATACATCTCTTATAAATAATCTTCTTTTAATATTATAATAATATTTTTAATATATTTTCATTTTTATTAAATTTTTTTTAATTATTATATTAATAAAAATAAGTTGTTTTGAAACTGTATGTATCTTAGGTTGTGAAAATATCAATTCTCCTCAAACAATTGCATGCAATTATTGGTGTCCCAGAAAGTTTTGCTTACGTCGGTACATTGAACCTCAGCGTATACAGTATTTAAGACTAAGTCGTCTGGCAATGTTCTGTTTATTAAGACCATAGGTATCTGGTTTCATAGGTTGCTCCAGGAATTACCGTACGCCTCAGAACTCTATGTCTCCCTCTCCGATGCAAAATTCATTTCAAGTTATCAACCCTTTTTATTGTGCTCCTTACACTATCAATCTACAAATTAATACTGAGAATGGAGTCACTTACGACTATCATGGAAACCCTCTCTTTCGTCTCCAACGTACCTCGTTAACACTTCACGACCGTCGTGTCTTGTACGATAATGAAGAAACCCCATCCTCACTCTGTACAAGAAGGTTTGGCTATACTCATTCTTTTCCCATTAAATTACTGATTCTGTTAGAATTTGGGATTTGGGTTTATCTTAATATTACATATCTGCTCAATTCTTGTCATTACTTATTTTATTGATTAAAAGATTGTTTACGTTTCAGAAAAAAAAAAAAAAAGATTAATTAATTTTGTGCTTTACTCGAAAGGTTCAGAGCTTTTCCGGTTTAGGTTCTTGAAATACACTTTATCAATTTATTTCATTGTCTCACATTTGTTCAATCTTATACCATGTTTCACTTAAGATCTTTTAACATGCATTATCAACTTTATTAATCTTTAAGAGTATGCGAAAATTATAGATACTAACGAAGAAAACAAAACCCTCATGTCGAGGAAGGAGTTTGATGTAATGAAAATTAAGAAAGTTAATCTATCAAACATTTTACCTAAATTATACAACTTAAAAAAAAGTTAAGTGATCAACATTTTGAGGAGAAAATCATAGTGTGTCTTTCACATAATTGACTTAGTGCACTACAAGAAATATTAAAATTACCGACGGTCAAAATCCGTCGGTAATAACAAAAATCCGTCGGTAAATGAATATTACAGACTGAAATTCAGACGACTAAAAATCCGTCGGAAATAATTTTATTATTTATTAAATATTTTACTTATTTATAACATTATTTTTTTTATAGAACCCTCCCCCTTATATTTTTATAACTTTGAATAATTGTTAGATTAAGAGAAATGTCATTGGCAGGATTCGAACCAGATCTTAGAATGTGAGGTTGATACTCCAACCACTAAACTACTAGAATTTCTTGATAACAATTTACAAATAAATTATATTTATATACAAATATACAAATACATTTATATATATTTATATATATTTATATATATTTATATACATTTATATATATTTATATATATTTATATATATATTTATATATATTTTTATATATTTTTATATATTTATATATATTTTTATATATTTATATATATTTATATACATTTATATATATTTATATATATATATATATATATATATTTTTTTTATATATTTATATATATTTATATATATTTATATATATTTATATATATTTGTATATATTTATATATATTTATATATATTTATATATATTTTTATATTTATATATATATATATATATATTTATATATTTATATATTTATATATTTATATATTTTATATTTATATATATTTATATATTTTATATTTATATATTTTTATATTTTTATATTTTTATATTTTTATATTTATATATATTTATATATAATTAAATATTTATTTTTAAAATTACTTAATTTAATAAATTATTATAAATTAATCTAATTATGATTAAATTAAATTATTAAATAAAAAATATTTTATTTTTTAATTAGTGAATAATTAAATTATATTATATAATTTTACCGACGGATTTATCCGATCGGTAAATAATTTTTAATTTATATATGAATTTACCGACGGATATATCCGTCGGTAATTACTTGTTAATTTATCGACAGATTTACCGACGGATATATCCGTTGGTAAATTCATCTATAAATTACCGACGGATTTATCGACCGGATATATCCGTCGGTAACTAATTATTATTTTACCGACGGATATATCCGTCGGTAACATCAAATTTCAAAAAATATTTTATATCCGTCTGGTAATTTCAGTCGGTAATGATTATTTTCCGACGGCTACAATTCCGTCGGTAAATATCCGTCTGATATACTGCGATTTTCTTGTAGTGGTGTAATTAATTCATGTACTTGTAAAAATTAACTTATATAAGTAATATACACTTTTACACAAGATAATATTCATCCATTTTTTTTCTAATTTTTTATTTTATTTTGCTCTCGTTATTTTATAACCTGTAACATCTGCATCCCTAGTAACTTTGTATCAGAGCAAGAAGATTTTGTGACCAAAAAGAATTCTTTTCTTATTTTACGTCCTGTGTAGTTCAGTTTCATAACGATGATCATGACAGGTTTCAACGAGAACATTCATAAAAATTTACCAATTCTTGATGACAAGAATTTGTACAGATCGATTGTTCAGATGAATATATTGTTTGGTTTCTATAGGATATTCTTATATTGTCAAGAATGGTTATAAATCCCTTATTAAACCTACCACTGAAGCCCATAGACAAACTTTTAAGGAGAATAGAAAGAAAGATTGCAAGGTTCTATTTTTTTCTCCATTAGTATGTTGATTATTCTCACTTTGAGAAGATTGTTTCCACTCAAACTTCAAAACATGGGATGTATTGGTTAAAGCTTGTTTCGATGATGACAAGCTAAAGAAAGTAAAATTGCATATTAACACCGAAATTTGAGTTGTTCCAAATGAATAACAATAAGAGAATCACGTATTATTTTGTAAAATTGTAAGTTCTTGTGAATCAAAAGAAAGTGTGTGGTGTTATTGTTTCAAATCATGTAGTGGTGGAGAAGGTAATACGAACCGTTAGTGAAATATTTGATTACACAATCATAGTCTTTAAAGAATTCAAAGATCTCTCAATGATAAAGGTAAAGAAGTTGTAAGGAACTCTTGAAACACATGAACAACCATTGATTGGAAAAGACTAACAACAGGAGACTAGTTGTGCCTTGCAAGCCAAAGCTAGTTTCAAGAGGGACTGGAATAAGAACTAGTGAGAAGGCAAAAAGAGAGTGGAATATCCCAAGGGTGGAGATAAAAGAAATACCTCTAATAATGATCATTTTTATGGTGATGAAGTTAAAACTTTAAATAACAAAGGTGGAGGAAAGAAAATATAAAAAGCCAAAGGGAAGAAAAAATTTGATAGATCCAAATAGGATCAGAGTCAGATGATGACCATTAATATATTGATAGGGGTGTTTCAATCACATAATTGGACACAATATTTGTTAAATATTTGTTGATCATTTGACAAGCGTACCAATATTACCAATCGCGAGTATAATATTTTAATTAAATAAAAGTTGATCCCACGAGAAATGATTTCACTGGAAATTCCAAGTCATATGCTTATTAAGTATATTGACACAAAATTGGTTTTTCATAAATATGTGAGTTGAAAATAAATGGCAAAGAACTATTAAGTATTTTTAGAAAATATGAAATATAAGAACTTATGATTGAATTAATTTTTTCCCTCCTTTGTATAATGACTAGGTCAAATTAATAACATCACTAACCTATTAATGTTGATGTCACCTACTTAAATCATTCACATTGATTCTTCAAACATGAAATTCATAAGAAAACCTTGTAAACATAGATTCCTCATACATTTAATTAGATTTTCCAGCATTAGGTTTAGGGTGTTAAACACTTAATACATCTATTACCATTCCTAGCAATCAATGTAGCAAATATTCTTAACTTAATTAAGGGTTTCACGATATATTTTTCAATATATATGAACATTTAGGATAAAAGCATTAAAATGCACAAAGGATAAGAATAACAACATCAAGAACATAGATTAATATCTCAAAATATTACCAAGATACAAAAGAGTTCAAAGGAAGTGCACCCAATCCTAAAAGAATGAAGTTAGTCACTCATGATGGTCATTACAATGATCCAAATGAAGAAGAATTGAAAAAGAAATTGAAGATTGGACGAAAACTGGAGTAGTTGTCGCGTCTCTGTTCTCAAAACCTAAAAATTATTTCTCAAAATGTATCTTATCTTTTTATAGAAAAATTTGGGTCACGCGTCATTCGCTCAAGTGGAACATTCGCTCAGGCGAAAAATGGTGATTTTCGCTCAAGCGAGAAATGTTCGTTTGAGCGGTTGAATTCCTGAAAGCTTTAACGTATTTTCGTTCAAGAAAATAAATGTTTGCTTGAGCAAGTGACTTCCAAAGAGCTTTAACGTATTTTTACTAAAGCG